AGAGATGTGAGCTTTCCATCAAATACTAAATCTAAATACCAAATGTAACAAGTTCAGACACTGCAGATGAAGAGTAAGAATTGCATTTTAAACATCATATTAGCATGGAAAAGGTCCTTTCTGTAATAGAAAGGCAGAAAAAAAAAGAACAAAAATAAAAGTTGTGTCACATCACAGCAAGAACCACATCACCACCGCACGCTSAAGTAAAACACAGCCAGTTTTATAGCAAGCCCAATACACTCCATACAATCTGAATGATGCAACTACAGCATGATGCTATATTTCCTACTGGAAAATTTATATACGCTGTGTGGAGTCTACATGGCGACTTCCAAGGCACAGCCAGTCTCCTTCCCACTGCCAGCTCCTCCAGACTCCTCCTCCAGACCTCAGGAACACACATTATTCCTATGCGGACAGACAACTAGCACTGGAGAGAAAGTCTGCTGTACGCTGAGGATGGTATTTTTAATTGCTGCTTTACAGAAAATTTCTGTTCTGACAAATACAATGCTTTACAACATACTCTGGAAACACGCTAAGGCTTTCTTGAACCTCTACGGAGGACCAAGTTCTGAGAAACCGGCAGCTCCTAGAGAAAGAGAAAAAACCTGGCTATATAACGCGGCTATATCATGAGCTAGCAGAGCCCCAGAGCCATGGAAATGCATACAGGAGCTAAGGGAAGAGGTGCACTGGTTCCCAGAGAGTGCTCAGCGTTTWCTGTGCTCTGGAAGCTGCCCGCTATCTAAATTCTTTGTTCACTTTCAACTTCTTCCATGCCAAATCTGTGACCTGATATCCAAGTCCCTGGCGTATTCCCTCTGCTGCTCTAATCTTGGCCTCCTCTTGTCCCCACCCAGAGACACAGCAGTTATCAGTCATTTGCTGACATGATGGCCCATCTATTTTCAACTCTTTCCTTCCCTCCAAGAAACTGAGTCACTTCCTTCTTTCCAGTCTCACATGAAAAAGAAAAAAAAAAAAAAGGAAAAAAGTGTTTTGCTTCAACTGCACTGAACAYTAAGGGCCTCACTTCACACATGCGTATATTTCTATATAAAACCACAGCAATTTGGCTTTTAAGAAAATTACATATTTTGTTGCACTGGTGAAAATCTTTGATTTTTTTTTAATAAATAAATAACTGTATTAGCGCTGATAAACATTACCTTAAACTTCACCCCTTCCCAAGTTAAGGGAATATTAACTCCAGAATATACCAAGGCAACCCATGCTGGATGCGTTAGCACACATCGTGGCTCCTCTYGGAGCCAGAGCTATTTCAGTCTTGCATTCTTTGTCTTGCAAGAGAAAAACAAGTCAGGACCCTCTAGTGCTTCAAGCTCAGCACCAATGGCAAAACACCAGGAAATATCAGCTGGAGAGAATGCTGATATCGCTAAGTTGGGGATGTTTATTACCCTGTTTTCATTTCAGGCTGTAACCCCTCCACACACACCCCCAAAGGCAATTTAGACTGCTCTCCACTGCACAAATATTCATGCTTAAAAACACAGCCCAAGCCCTACGGTGCCCCAGTACATTTTCATCTTGTCCTTGAAAACATCAAAAACAAACAAAAGCCGAATGCGGGCCCTTGCTGACCCGTGCAAGGCTAGGATTAAAGCCTATCTTCCTCCTCCTCTCTGCACACAGCAATTCTGTGCCTCACTACTCCAAATGTAGCGCAGAGCCGCCCAGCAAAGACCAGAGATAAGTTTCAAGACCACGTTTTCAAAAGCACAGTCTAGACACAATACATCCATCTGAATTCTTATTACACCGGGTGCTCTTCTCCTGTATGTTGTATCCTTAGTTGTATCCTTTTTTCTTTTTTTTTTTTTTTTTGCTACATGCTGAATGTAGCAGTGCTATGCTAATACTATGAAGAAAATTATAGAATAAAAAATTTTGGTTCGTTTGTGGCAGAAAAGCAGATCTAGCTTGGCTGTAATTTATATGCATGGCAATGGAAAAAAAATACATTTAGCAATAATTGAACAATTTTGTGTTGTCAGTGGATAAWAGTTGTTAATGGCGTGCACCAAGCTCCCTGGGCATATCACAGATGTACATCTGTACATATGCATGCATGTAGACTTCAGCACAGGGACAACAACCACATTTACACTGCACTAGAATAATTAAGTTGTCCATAAAGAATCATTAAGTTGGCCACAATACTCACAGCACAGCGCGCACGACAACTTGGCATTACTGCCTTCCAGCATAACACAGCACTGAGCAGATGCTCGAGCGCGGTTCCGCTGACTCCAAATACTCCCAAATGGTATTTTTAAGTAGCTTAGTATCTGACATGRTTCTTGTACAATAACAAAAATGCCTACCAAAACTCTTAAGCTATTGACTAAAAACATCAGTCTTCAATCAGTCACTGGGGGAATGGAATTTGCTGAATATATGAGATTTATCCAGAAACGTAACCCAACACAAACCTATTTATTCTGCAATTCAGAAGGCAGACTGATTGTTTTTCAAGTATAGGGAGCTTGTTTTGGTTCTGCAGCTAATGAGATACATGTTCTCCCTCTCTTCCACATCTCACTCTGTGTGATGGCCCTGAAGTATTAGCTAGAAGGAACCTCTATGCCAAGGAGGGTGCAAGACCCACAGCCACAGCTGAACAACACGGTGGAGATCCTGCACGGCCCTCTCCTCCTTTGCACAACTAGCAGCAACCTACCGAGTAAGCTTGGGAAAGAGTAAATGGAAACAATAAATGAAGTATTTAATGGAAATAACAAATGAAGTATTTAAATCATCTGACAAAACTACATAAAAAGGTTAAGTATTATGCTAAGCAGTTTTTATGCTGGCAATACAGTATATATGTTCTCATTTTATGGTATAAAAGTACTGGGTTCAAAGCAGTCTCCGACTCAGTTGGAGTAGGAGCGCAGAGAGGCTCAGACTTAAAGACCAATCCCAAAAGGAAGGCAGGGCCCTGGGGCAGGACTGTCAAACCTCACAGCTCTGCCACTACGGAGGAGACCCACACTAGCAATTTCCCACCGGGGTCTYGTCCTTTCCAAGGGATGCAGGCCTGGAGAATCCCATTCCATTCACGTAATTAAGCATACTTTCCCCAAAGTGGACGGTGGCTCTTGCTACGTTTCAGAYGTGGTGTCAGTAAGAGCGGCCACCTCGCACGGGTATTTCTTCCTCTGCGGATGCACAGACACATCCAGCCACGCATTAACTAAAGCCAGACCCAAAGGCCGTCTCAGGCCAACACGTGTGCCTTAAATTGAGGCAATTAGAAGTAATTCATGAACAACTCAAGTTTAGCACTCAAACCCGTGCGCAAGCAAAGAGCTCCGCTACGTTTCAGAGGTGCTGAGCACGTCTCGGGGATTCCAGCACGGCACGAACCAGGCTTTTCTGCCCCTCTCCCCAGGATTACCACTATTTTTGGAGGAAGTTACTTTGTTATTAATGCACACATGCCTTAAAAGGAACAGCCAAAGATTGGTCCTCTAATAGCATAYAAATAATGTACTTGATGCTCATACTTTAATTCAGGCCAGGTGGCCAGTCTCAGTTTTCAGCCGGCATTCAAATGCTTAGCATGCCTAGATACGCAAGACAGCAGGGTTTCTGGCTGCAAGATAACATCAAGTCTCAGCATTTTACTCATGTCAACCTTTAGGAACGATTAAAAAAATAAAAAATCCTTTCAATCAATGCCTAAACCTACCCTTTCTTTATTYCTTTTTTCTTGTAATTGTTATAAACGTTACCACGTATTTATAATCTCATGTACTTCCTCCACTCCTCAATCTCACAAGCTGGAAGCTGATGCCACCTTTCCACGACAGCTTTCCAAACACCAAACATCAGAGTTTTTATCCCTCTTYGTCAGCACTACTTTGATTTTGGATAGATTTCATAAATAAAAACTACAACGCAAACCCAAACTGAGTAGAGAGAGTATTTTAGCTTAAAATATACAGCATATTGCAATATAGAAAAAAAGTCAAAATACATTCTGAGCTTTTAGGAGCAAGAGGATATGTGATCGTTACAAACATTATATAATCATCTTGAACCTCAAAGCACCAAAAATAAAGTTCATAAACTTAATGTTTTTGCTAGCAGATTTAGATTTTTAGTGATTGATAACACTATTATTTTCAGAGGACATCAGAATTATCAGACAGAACTGAAGACATATGTGTTCATATAGACACACAGAGGTACACACGCAGGCACACATCTATACAGTGTTATCAGAGAGGCTGCTGCTGAGTACCAAACACTGTTAGCATCAATACTTTAAATTACTGGAAAATACAGAAAAAGAAGTTTCCTAATTGCATTCGTTTTACCAACACCTCTCAACAACACTGTTCTCGAATAAAAAAGTAAATGCTCTCATAATTAGATTTCTAATGGAAGCACCGGATATAAATTTTAACAAGTTTTAAATTGTTGCTGTTACTGCACATCAAGACCTGAGAATCCTGGATAGGAAATACTGAAGCTTCTCCAGTCACTCTCTCAAACAACTATTAACTCCTCATTTCCACAGAGATGAAATATTAAACAACAAAAAACCTAAGTCTTAGATGCACAGCAAGAAACCTATAGAATCGAGCTCTAAAATATTTAACATCTGAAATGCCTTTTGTTTTTCATTTGTTCCTCCCTTCTGAATAAAAATATATAATATATTCTATGCTTTATATAGAATATRGATCAAAAACTATCTATGTATTTATATAGATAAATGACAGAGCATAGGAAAAGAACAAGATTTCCTGGACTCCCAAGAAATTCATGTCTTATTCTGGGATACAATAAAAAGGTCTTGTAAACACAAAGCAGTCATGYCTACAGCTTCCTACCAAGTGCATCACTATTTTCAGATCTATATGTCACATTTCTGAAGAAATTATAAGTTTAAAGGCTTAAGAGYTGAAGATTTTCACACTGAAAATAATGTTTGTCTGCAGAATCCCGTATACTCTTACCTTGAATGCACTGCAGGGTCCCATCCTCAGCCCTTATTGTAAAGGTTTCACCTGGATTAACTTGAACCAGAAAGACCTGCCAAAAGAAAACACACGTTTCACTCTAATGTGTAAGTGTTAAAAGTTGTTCAGTCCAACAGCTGTTATCCATATTTTGGAGAAGATAAAAACTACAGCCCACACAGGATGTTACAGCTCTGGATACCAGCAGAGTCTAGGAGTTGGTACAGACTCTTTTGCCCACTCATCTAAATCTTCAGAGCTGAAACAAACATTTAACTTAGCAGTTGTGTGTAGGTGAGGGTTRCGGTGTCAGGTTCCCCCACCAACGACAGTGGATGTGACTTGGCCAGATGCTGACAGCAAAGGAGGTAAATCTTTGGACCATAGGTACCGTTGAGTGGACAGCACCTAAACTCCAGCATGAAATACCAAGTCATACAGTGCTTCCAATTTCACAGGAATAAAGAGTCCTTGCAGTAACAGGAGTTTTATCCACTGTGGTTTTTTAAAAAATGTCACATCCTAGACATAATAGACCACAGTAAAGCATATAGTTACTAACAGAATTTGTATAAAAAGATCTCCCTCCTCATCTCCCACTGCTCAATTCTGCAGAGGATGGGAATGCCACAGTGTCCAGAAAGTGCCCAAGGCTCCTTTCCCACCCTCTCATTGTATTGTAAATAAGACGCTGCCTGAAAAGAAAGTGTTTTGCATGTACCCGTCTTGCTGGTTTCCTGGCTCGAGCAGGRGGCTGGGTTAGGTTAGAAGCAGCTATTTTTAGTGAGACAGAGCAGGAGTGTTTACACTGCAGGAGCTCACAAGCAGCTATATCCTGATGACAAGCAGAGGCTGGCGGGGGTTTTTTTAAGCCAGCATCAAGTAAGGACCAGATCCTGACAGCTCATGGTGTGTAGAGCAGCAAGGGCTCCCTCCTGAAAGGGAAGCTGCCCTGCGGCACCCTAAACCTGTGCGGTTCTCGGCCAGGACTCCTTCCAGAGTCCACTTGCCCAGCGTGAAGCTCAAAGGGCACAACCTGCACTGGGGAATTGCGACTGAAAACCTTTACTGACATTAAACTGATAATGCAGATAGGTATCTTTTTGTGAAATTTCTCTCAAAATTTTGCTCTAGTCTTTACATTCTGGGACAGCTGCATGAAGTCTGGGAAAGCTGCATGAAGTCGGTTTCCTTTGCTGACAAACCCCGAGGACTCGAGTGTCCCCAGCAAAGCCCCTTGCCACACACCCAACTGCTGCCCTAAACACAGCCCAGCTCAGAGACGCTTCTGGAGCTGCTGCAAACCAAAGCAGAGGTTGAGAGTCTTGTGAAGGGCGTGCAGGGCCCAYGAGGAACAGCTCCAAAGCTGGAACTTGTGGGTGGGTTTGTGGAGCCCACAGGCTTCTCCCTAATTAGGTCTCAATTTGTGTTCTGCATTCCTATGATTTGGGTTGTCCATGCATATCACTACTTGTTCTCCCTGGGCAGTGCTTCATTAAACCTGTCTGCAAACCGTCCTATCACTCAGCACAAGCTCTGACAGACAAGGAGCCCTGGACTCTTTCCTCAAGCACTGGACTCCCCTTCAATCACAACAGGTCACTTCTGAAGAGCAAAGCTGGGTTTTCCTGCTAGAACTCATTCTTCCCCTGTGGTTTTCAACACAATCATTTTAAAACAGAGAAGATTCCTCCTTCCTACCACTTCTTCCCCTTTCAACAAGGCAGCTAGTGTCATCTTTGCACCCAGCAGCAAGTGCCATCACTGATGGCAAAGCCTTGGAGAGTTTCTTGCAATCTCTGTTTGGAATTTTGTTTTATAATATTACCTTTCTCAAATATAACTCCTTGRGGAAAAAATGCAAATATTTAACTACACTCACTTATGCAAAACACTTTGGTTATTTCTATTACCCACCTGCATAGACTGTTTTTAATACACACTCTGTAAATCATACTGCTGCTAGAGAGAGCTGGGCACTTTGTTCTGCGCATCACCAACTTGCAGTAARTTCCATCATGTTTTTCTATTAAAATCCAGTAAACCAAATCTTGACTTCTTGGGTTTTAAGTTTCATAGCATCAGTATTAACAAGATTACATTTGTGAATGTGACCATTGGCACCATCTCATCTCCTAACAATGAAGCTGAAAGACAACTTATCTATTTTCATCAGTATTTAGGTATTTAAAGACATACACAAACCCAAAGATTTTCAAAGGAGACCCATTCTATCAAACCAATTCTATTCCATTAAATTGATTCTATTAAAASAAATACTTCTGTGAAGAACAGTAGCAATGCTGCTAGATCTGCTTTTAGTGTTTTTCCCGTGCTAGAGATGAAGAAGCATCAACATACTCCTCGTTTGTTTACTTGAATTAAATTGCTTAGAATTTAAGAGCCAAGGACCAAGAGCAGAACCCCAGCTTTCCAAGGCCAAGCCTTTCCATGCAATTTAACTCATCAGTTCCCCAAAAGATGAGTTATACAGAATTTCTCAATAATGACAAAAATCAACCTTTACAGTGGCACAGAAAAACACATGAAAATACATGGTGAGAGCACACATGGATTTAAAGTTGTGCTGTAGGCAAGAAAGATGACATTACAATAAAAATACTGCAGCCACCGTCTTCTAAAAGGCAAAACCCTGCCAAGTGTCAAAGATATTAAAAGACTTCATCCTGCCCTGATGTCCAGACTCATCGGCAGCACAAGCAGCAGCCCTTGCGGCCCTGTTGCTGGGGGAGAGCAGCTATATTGGGAGCAAACAGGAATAACCCCCGCGTGACGGAGCGCAGCTCTCGTGCAGATCAGCACCGGCAGGAGGATGGACACACGCACACACCGATGGCTCTGGATGAGCTCAGGCCTAGGGGTGTTACAGCTGCCAGGGGATCCATGGAAAGCCCTGGCTTTGCCCCAGCCCCTGCTCCCCAGTGGAGTCTCAGCCCCAGCTTCTCCTCTCCCGGGGCAGCGACGGCAGCAGTTTCCAGCTCTGCCCAGGGGTTTCCCTGCACGACAGTGACCTGCAGCACCGCAGCGGCTCCACTCCCCTACGGACTCCATGCTGCGTGTGCGGGGGCCACACACACCACGAGATGCCCACCCACCACACGAAGCGTGAGGAGCAGCCCAGGAGCTCCCAACGTGCTGCAGAGCTGGGGGCAGCCCCACAGGGCCCACACACCCCATCACAGCCCCAGACGTTAAGTCGTTCATCAAAAAGCAACCACCCGAGCTGGGCACATCCACACACGGTGGCATCCAGGAGAGGCCACCATGGTCCCTCCATGYGCAGGGCTGGGGGCAGCAGCCCGTTCCCCTGGTCAGCAGCACACCCCAGTTCCTTAAGCGATGCTGTTCCCCTCAGAGCCAAGACATGAGGCACATTTTCCAACCAAYGCCCCCGACTCTCCCCCACTGCTCGGATCACACAGGAATCGAGGGAGATTCTCTGCGTGCCTCCAGCTTGGGCCTTACTCGTGCACCATGACATCAGCGCGTGCGAGGAGCCAAGATGAAGGCTCCATCTGGGACGAATAACATCCAGGCACATTGTGACTTCTCTTGTTTATACACACTGGCTAAGTATGCCTTGGTGGGAGATGAACTAATTCAAAGATTTATGTCTCCCAAGCCCTCCTAAACAACAAAACAATATTCCGTATTCTGGAACATCACTTTTCCAGCTTGCCTGCTACAAGAGGGAGCTGCAAGAGAATGCACTGTTTACAAAAGCTATAATTGAAATCCGAGCAATAGGAAAGTGTCTACAGATTACATCTCCATTTTAATGTAAACAAGTAGAGAGGATCTTTAATTGTCATGTGTCTCCTCCAAAATTTATCATCCTGAATGAGAACTTTTATGAGACRCTTCCTCTTTCAACCAGAGGAGAGGGAACTCAAAAAGCCCATGTGAAGCAAGGCTGCTGTCACACATGGGCAAAAAAGGACTTTGAACAGCTGCAAGTTGGGCGTCAGCAACAACTCCAACCCCTTTCCTCCAGAAAGGAGGAACACACAACCAGGACTGTCATTTGGGCAGCTTGTCATGCTCGCTGTTGGAGCCTRGGCCTACCTATTGCAGTGTCAGGGAGAGCTGGTCATCATCCTTACACTCTGATATTGCATTTATTTTGCATTTGGGAACGTGGTTACACTTTAAATAGTTGTATGAGCTAAAACTCTGATTAGCGTTACTAAGTTACCTAGTTAAGATAAATATTTACGCTCACACAGGCACCCAGTGCTGGCTCCRTGTCCAGACCAAGCTTCCCCCACAGACCCAGAGGTCCTGCTGACGTCTCCTCGTTCCTGCTGTCCGACCATCATATCCAAGGGGAGCAGGGCGACGAGACGAAGGAGCCTGCCAAAGTCCAACGGAGGCTTAAAGCAAAGGTTTGGGAACATAAATCTCCTCTGCACTGTGGGTAAACAGTTGCATACAAATAATAAAAAATAAAAAATAAAAGAAACAGAAACTCTACCTGCCGAGGACCCAGCAGATGTGCTCTTCCCCATCATGGGGGCACCTTCCCTTCCCTTCACAGACATGCCACATTTCATATGGCACGTGGGAATGCCACCGGCGTGCTGTGTGACACAGGCCACAGGTTCTTCTAAACGGCTTTAAACATTAAATCTACCATATTCACAATTTATAAGTTGCATAAACTTTGGAATATACTGCATCTCTGGGRAAAAAGTAGTAATAATCAAATGGGCTCAGTGATATCTGTACTTTAAAATATTGCGTCCCTGCTCCTACTAAGCAGTAGGAGCATTAGTACTCGGCTCTGGTGCCCTGGAAGGAGCAGGGGGGGCAACAACATCCTTATGGGATATTCTTTCCAGGAATATCTTTTCAACGGCACAAAAGTAGGCAGGATGAATATCCTCAGCATCAATTCAGAAAAATCAGATAACATACTACTTCCAAAGCAATGGCTTCTACAAACAAACACCCTGACAATAATATTTAAGTTTCATTATCTGTTTTTCTTCCATGTGACTAAATTGAGGCCCGGGGAAGTGAGCTCACCCTGAATGCTGAGAGCCAAGCTCAAAAGCAAGTGACAACTCCTGAGCTCCATGATTTATCACAGCTTAAACAGACTCTCAAAACACCAGTAAAAAATCCAATACATCTGTGTAACAAATTACTCTGATAAGCAAGTAATTTTAAGCCTCATGAAATATTAATGAAATCCGTGTGTTGCCATTCTTGCATTCCCCAAGAAATTCATTTGGGAGAGCAGTCTTGGACATCACCCATGAACATCCTTGGATTAAATCCCACCTTTGACACCTTGGTGGCCAATACCTCCTACAAGTTCATTCTAGTGACTTTTAAGAGCAGCGAGAGAGAACAACAAGAGAACAACAATGTCCAGCTTTGATAACACTGCTGGACTGCACTTTTAAATACCTTTGCTAATATGTACAGAATCTGCTTTAGAAATCAGTATATTTAAACAGAAGAGGATTCAAATCATACAGAGCACAGAAATATGCACAGGAGTCCAGATGCCACTGGCACATTCAATGTTCAGGAACGGTAAAACCGCAGCCAGGGAAAGGCTTGTGTTCTTGCAAGGTCCACAGATTTGTTGCACTATAGAAAATGAGCAATTTTTGTTCCCAACTGTAGCGATTTTTGTTCGACACACCCTAACTTTCCTTATCTGAAGTTTGTGCCCCTAGAAGGCAAGAACAAGCACATGCAGGTGCTATATTCAGCACCTCTTCTCAAGTGCAGGAGTGGTAAAGGGGAGCATGGATGCAAAACTTGCTCTACGACTGCTAATCTACTGATCTAACCAGGACAAAATAAAATATCCCAAAATAAACCAGGCCATATTCTGCACAGACACACACAGCCACCTGCCCCTCCACCTTCATGCTCCAAGATTTTTAGAGCGTGCAGTGAAGCAGCTACCAGAAACCGGCAAAATTCTTGGACCAAAAGTTTAATTATAACTCCCAGAATCCCCCCAGGAGTTACAAGTGGATTAGAAAGAGAAGCAGAGTGAGCAGCAGCTCTGGAAAGGACATGAAAGCACTAAACACAGTCAGCTGTACGGGAGATTAAGTGTGGGAAGCTAAAAACGTTCATAACACAAATGCCATTTTGGGCAGTGCAGAGAAGACAGTGTAAAGCAGGCAGAGAAACATTCTGAGTTCTGCTCCAGAAAGATGRACAACTTGAACGCCCCTATGCACTTGTCTTGCACTACGGTACTGTCTGCTGGCTGGCAATATTCCTCTCCATCCGGCTGCTGGGAAAAGCTAAGGGGTTTTACCAGCTTCAGGGTGACTGTCCACAGCAYGAGAACACCCCTGGCAGGTCCAACACTCCCCTTGGCTGCAGCTTCTCAGACAGGCTCCGGCAAACACCAGCTCAGGGCTGATGACAGCGGGCTGGGAACAAGCAGCCCRGGCCCTGCTGCTTCGGGCAGGGCTGCCCATCGTTTTGCTCCTGGGACAGACAAGGGCTCTGCCTCACGGTTTCTCAGGGAATGAGCAGGTAGCCCAAGGATACCTGCAGTTCCCGTCACCATCCTTGGGGTTTCCTGCACTGCCCAGTGTCAGGCGAGCCAGCTCTTCTGCTCTGAAAGCTTTCTGGTGACATCTGCAACCCAATAGCTTTATGAGAAGTGAAAAGCTCTCTGAAGACTTTTGTGCTTGCAACATTTAAAAGCTTCACGAGAAAAGCCCAGGTGGTCAAGGAATACCACATGCACCTGCTGTTTAATTCCAATTAATTTATTCCAGGAGAAAGCAGCATGTAGAGTGTATTGGCAAGAAGGCAGAATGAGCAGACAGAAGCAGGTATCATCGAGTACATAAACAAAAATCTGTCTTTTGAGCAGAATCCTTTCAGCAGAGCCACGTGTAGCTGGTCACAGTTTAAAGCACAGCTTTACTAAGAGCCCTCCTGGCATTCCTGAGGGAATAAGAGGCATCTTGGTCACAGAAGCCATTCTCACATGGCACAAATCTGAAGGCTCTTACTGCCTAAAAACAGCTCAGGTAAGACTTGAAACAAATATGCAAAATCTGCCCGTATATTAGACAAGAAATCACGTTGACAGCATTAATATTGYTGCTGCAGTACACAGATCAAATGAGGCGGTTAATCCAATAATTTCATTCCAACTTAAAAATACATTTTTAAAATTAAAAGCACCAGTTAAAGCTTCGGGAATAGGCTGAAAGTGTGAAAGCATAATAGACCAGACCAGAGGGAGAAAACTCTCACAAAACCCAGCTACAAGTAAAGAGATAAAGTGATAAATTATTCTCATTTAAGGTCAAATGTTAAAGCAGAAAAGCAGACTGACTCACACCCACTCTGCCGAGCCACATTTGCTCAGCACAGGGAAAGCACCGAGTAATGCACTTCCACCACATCMGCATATCCTTGCTCCAAAACATTAGAGGAGCAGCTGATTTGCGGGCAGCAGAGCTATCTGCCAAGCAAGGCTACTGAATCACTGCTGATGGGGATGTTCAAGGATCAGCTTAGAGCTCCACCTCAAGAACGTGCTCAGGAGACCTGATCCATCATTTCAGTAATGTGGGAACACCAAGAACGGGCTTATTTAAGGAGTAATTATGTTTCCAAATACCAATAAGCTTGTTCCGTCACTTAGGCATATCAATGCTAGACTCTGTAAAAAGAGCCATTAACAGCTYTTTATTTATTTAAGGAAAAAGTTCCAAGGTAGAAATAGACTTTTAAAAAATTACAGCAMGGAAATCCCGTATTATACCAAGAATCCAGATAAGCAAACAGATTCAAAAGCTTACAAGAAAAAAGGAAATCATTCTTCCTCTCGTGACTGTCTTGAGAGCTTGCAGACACAGCTTGGAGAGAGGAACGAATGGCATTTTATTGATTCATGAAGGCAAGCTTATTTCTACCTTAGAAGAACTTTGCTAAAATGCTCATATACACAGGGAACCAAATAAAGTAATACAGAAAAAATGATAGGATAGCAATTCAATGYTCTACTAAAAGAAAAACCAATCCAAGATGGMAGGTGTGGGAATCTACCAACTTCCAAGTCGAACATTCAGGCTCTATCATGACATAAAGGCATCTCCATGGTCTTRTTTTACCTTTGACAAGAGAACACTGCCTAGAAAAGTCTGAAAGCAACTTCACATTCCTTCAAGTTCTCCCTCAAAATTCACTTCTTCTCTAAGGTTTATTATAAAGCACACAGTGATTCACAGGTCTGCTGTGATTTGTACACGTAATAAGCTAAGAATAGCAGACATCATAGGATGCTGKTCTCCACTACATCTCCATTTGCTCCTTCCACAATCTAGTCCAAGCATTTTTAAGTATTTAAAACCTGTTTCTACAGAGAGTAGCAAAAGTGGACAACAACTAGCACACATAAACCAAGAGACTGTCTTTCTACACAATGTTCAGATACTCAGCAATTGCAGTTGCAGTTTGCCKGTTATTTTACCTCCAGTACATCTGCAAATAATGACATTGAATTGATCAGTACATATAAAGCATTGCTTTGGAAGCTATCCCTGTGAAAAGGGGGATTTCTACAGGGTATAAAAGCCCTGTTCTCCTTAGTACTTGTGGAAACCAGGGCTTTTTTTCCCATCCCCATCCTCAACCCCCGCTTGATGGCCCAGGAATGGTTTGGTGAAGTGGGCCCAGCGCGCTGACCTGCTGCGATCCGTCGCCGTTCACCATGTGGGGCATCATGGCCACCTCCCCGTTCAGCAACGGCGGCAGCTCCAGGGGAATCTGGTCGGTCATCATCATTGTGACGTACATTCATGGAGAATTTTCCTCAACGGGCTTCCTGGAAGAGAGGCAACAATTAAGGACCCCGGAAAAAAATAAATAGATAAAAAAGCTGTTTGCACTGATTAGAGAAGTGGGTTTTAACTGCTGGAGCAGCACCACGGATAAGTCAGGTTCTCATGCATGATTTCAGAAAGCCAATTCAACGGCTTGATACAGCAGTTCTTGAAAATACACCACATGCACCAGAGCTAACGTTCCGCCCATCGGTTTTACTCATAATACTCACAGTTTTAAGCCAACGGCCGCCCAACACAGAGAACGGTGCCCAACTTCCACTCACGACTACCCAAAGATCTCTACTGGAGTGGGAGGGACAGCACAACCCGCTACACTAAACACCTTATAGAGAGGACATCTATATATAGAAGGCAGCAGACCACGATGAAAGATCTCACTTCACTACAGGCATCTGTAGTGAATCATACATCATTTTCAGCACAACCCTCCCTTAAAAGCTAATTGCTTGAGGGGATTACAGTAGCACCACTAAAACTATGGGGTGATTGCTTAGTAAAGGCAGGCCTTAGATGAGCATGAAGAGCATCACCACACTGTTTTATGGGGCAGCAATCCAGTTTTTAAGGAGCAGCATGGATCACCCAGCTTATCCAGGCTTCTGCACTTGAACTCCCAAGCAACGCAGAATAGCTTCCTTCTACCTTCCACGCCACGGATTCCCAAAGTGCTCCCAAACACATCTACCAAACTCAGGGAAACAAAACAATAAAAAAGGAGAGACTGAGACGTAGTATTTTGGTGGAGCTCTTTAACACAACAGCAGAGCCACGGAGCACTAGCAGGGAGGTGAATCCCTGCTGCCGCGGGGCTGAGCCGCCCCACCGAGATTAGCACRGCTGGTTCCACCGAGTCTGCACGCTGCAAACCTAATACCCTGCTAACTAATCTACCCCCAAGGGCTGCTGCTGTTTAATTTTAGCTTTTAAAGCAGCTCTTTAACAGCTTGGTCAAGAAACAGACTGACACACGTGTGCGCTTCATTTTTATCCACTCCGCTTTGAGCGTCTAGGATGGGGTCCTTCCAGAGCTCGGATCCCATCACCTGCAGAGCGGCTCGACTGCCAGGCAGACCAGTAGCTGGGACTGCAATAAATGAGGAGGAGTAGGAGGAGGAAGGGCACATGCGTGATGAAGGGGCCCCAAAGTGCCCGTTTTATCCTTCTCTCCCACGCTCTGCCCCTTAGGGCTCCACAGCAGCTGGAGGCAGAAGGTGCATTCGCTTTTCGGAAGATGGGCAAATGCAGCCCAGCACCCTGAGCTGAAGACAATTTTGATTGAATTCAGTACCAAATTTAGGCTGCCTCTCACAGCTCTTTCTGATGCTCCTGTTAGTGTGGAAATGCCATTCTCCTAATTGTCACTTCACCAAGCTATAAATAGAGGCCATCTATTTTCATCTGCCTTTCAATGAAATTTCTCCTTTATTTGAGACTTAATTACAGGACAGAAACTCTCAGAAAGCTTGAGAAGCAGTGCTAGCACTAAGGAAAGGATATTATACCCTTTATACTCTATAAAAAGGCTCAGCTTACGGCAACATCAATGGTTTTACCCAACGGTGCCTGGCAGTGTCACAGCATCAACCCCTTGGTTAGCTGCTCCAACGGCGCCTGCAGGCACAGAGAGAGGAACAAGGAAAACCAAACCCCTCCTCAGCACGTGGGATCGGGTTCCCGAATGCTCACCCCGATACAGCAGCCAAATCTCCCTGGCTTTGCGTAATCCACAGCTCTCAGCAGCCGAAACTGCCGCGTCTCAGACCCACCTGCTACGGGGGCCACAGAACCTGCCCAAGGACCAGAGCCTTTGCTCAAACCGTTCTCCTGTCCCCTCGGGTTTCACAAAATTTGCAGTCTTTATCCCCTAAATTCTCTGGGCATCATTACGTAAAAGGCCTCGGTTTCATTTTGAGAAAGATGAGCAACAAAACAGTCACATAACAGCTGGGCAGGGAGGCAGCAGCTGGGAGGGGAAACGCGCTCCTGTCCCCACCCCTTAATGACAGGGAAGAAAACTCGACTTTCCCAGTCATTTGCTAAGTTCTTGGGACTGACAGAAAGCCTAACAGTGACATCAATCCCAGCACAAAAACAGGGCTGGGCAGTTCGAAGCAAGCAGACATATTCAGCCGGTAGCTGTACCTCTATCTACACTCATAATCTATAAAATGATATAGCTATTTATAACTTTAAACGATTTTAAAAGGCGGAAAAGTTCATAGGACTCATCATAAACACATGAAACGCCTCCCCCCTCAACGACACACTCCATCTGAACCCAAAAGCCTCAGCTTTAACAGACTTAAAGCATCATGCCAATTTTCTTAGGGGAAAAAAAAAAAGCCAGACTGTAGCTTGAAGCAACATATTTTCCTAGGAATATTTCCATTCCAGGCACAACAACCAATATGTTGACATTTATTTGCTATATGTCATTATTTGAAGTTTTACAGCCACATTCCTTTCGCTTTATTAATGGTTTCTCACTAGGACCATGTCTACACTTGCCTCTCTATAAAGTGGGGGGAAAAAGGGAAATTAAAGTTTCTTTTTTTGTCGTGACCAGCACCGCTCCACCGGCAGCAGTAAGWCCAGCAACGGGACCAGCCACAAGTGCTGCTGGCCCCAGGCCCTTTTTTTTTGGGCAGAACATCACGTAGCTGAAGCAAATGCAGCGTTAGGTGAGACGGGGTTAAAACATCCACCGCAGGACGGGCAGACTTCACACCAACGCCAAGAGCTCTGGAAACTGCTTCACACACTTATTTTTAAGCTTATTCTCTCATCCATCCTATTAAAATATAAATTAGAAAGCAAAACAAGCTTATTCACCAGAAATTCACACTCTTCCTCCAAACCAAAGTTTCTCCTACCCGAGGGGACGCTTCATTATTACAAAGAATATGAGAGGTTTCAACACAAACATTTTTATTCCCCCTGTAGATTCAAGGGCATCACTGGACGAAAACACCACACAAGGACCGAAAGAGCTAGGTCACATTTCAGGATATGAGAACTCTTCCTCAGTTAAAATACGAGCTGCCAAATACCAACCCACAGCTCTTTCTTTCAGGTACTAACTCAAATTTGGGGTTTTGTCTAGAAAGCTGACTATATTTAAATTTTAAAAAGATATTTCCTGTGCGTCTACATTCCCTAGGTTTGGCTGGGACAGACCACAAAAATGCCCGGACTCCGAGAGGCTGCATTTCCCTGTCTAGCTACCTCCAGGAGTACTAGAAATCTCAGTGTTTCCAGTCTTGCTCCTGCTGCAAGGAAGCAGGAATAAACCTCCAAGTTTTCTGCTGTTTCTCAACCCAACCCAAACTTCCAAATCTTGTGGTGTTTGCAAGTTACTGCTATAAACCTGCTTTTCAATTCACCACTGCAGTCTTCTACTGATCACCAAGATGACTCTAACTTTCCTTAAATTAATTCAATATGTGAATTAGTAATACATAAATTGGTTGCATATGGCAACAGAGAGAAAAGAAAAATCAAAAACAGAAGAACAAAGTGTAACCATCTCAACCCAATGTCCATGTATGGTGAATTACTATGACCTCGCATGTGAAGTCAAGAGTTCTCCTTAAATCCCCAAAGCAGCTTGAAGCACATTGAGATAACCAAGTGCAGTGTTCCTAGAAGGTTTGACCCATGCTGYTAATGGAGGTATAAGCCAGAACACTTTTCTTTTTGTGATTTTCCCCCCCCTCTTCTACAAAGAAAAGGTCTTCCAGTTAAGGTAGACAAATACAGACAATCTGGCAAAACAGTCCTAAATGTTTCGTCCTGTAACTGTTTTCTATCCAGGCTAAATTTTTATCTGGTTGCAAGAAAYGATTAAAACCTACCAAGAGCAACACTCTGCTTTTTACCAGAATCACCTGAAATCGTGAAAGTTCTTGTACCACACAGACGGCAGGCACCTTTTCAGGGATGCACCTTGCCCAGTTTATCTAAGATATAAAATCTCCACACCAAGTGCATCCCTGCACTGCTGCAGGGCTCAGGGCTGTTCAGTCTCACTAAAAAGKGAGGAGCCCAAAGATACATCAACCTTAGTTCACTACAGTGAAGACCTGAAGYGGGCAATATAAGACCTTAACAAGAACAGTTCCCTTTAAAACAGGCATTTAGCCTAAGTAGCAACTGACAACTGCACTAAGTTTATACACACACATTAGTGCAGGCACACGGAGCCCAGAATGCGCTCTCAGGGGTTCCTAAATAGGCAGAAGCAGCACTCGGATTTTCTGCTAGATGGGTACTCAGTCTTGACAAGCAGAAGTGACTGGAACAGACCTGAACATGGCAGATCTGGACACAACCTTCGTGGCTACCGGCCCCGTTCCTGGACTAGCCCGCGCTTCTCCTGTTGGCTTCCCAGGAGAGAAGGATCAAACGCTACTGGGYAGGAACCACGGAGAAGACGGAGCTGCTGCTCTGCTGTCCCGCCCTAAATGAGCAATAAACATGTGACTGTCATAATCTGTAATCATAAACTACTCTGGCTTTACAGCAAAACCTAGCTATTACATCGGATTAGCGGACATGATACCGCTCAGCCCTTCCTCCCACCTCCTAGCGGAAAATTGGCCCCAGCTTTCCCTATAGAACCGACTCGGACACTGAGAGCGGCTTCAAAGACAAGAAAAACTCCTACCCAACGCAGAACAACTTTCTTGGCTGAGCGTTCAAAACCCTGGCGTGCCCATTGCAGAGTTTGGAGGGGGAAGGAGAGGCCTGCATTCAAACTATGCATTTTTCCAAGCATCAGGGCGTAGAGTTCCATCTGAGCCCATTTCAAACACTTTTCCGCCCATTCTCCACATAATAGTGAGCATCTCCTTTGGACAGGGATTGCTACAGGGTCTGTCTTGGCAGTTAACAGAGGAAGGGGGAAGTTAATTCACACGTGGGCTCAGACATGAGAGGTCTGGTTGAAGTCGCACTTGAGGTGCGACTGTTG